GTAGTTCGTAGTAGTACGTAGTAGTAGTAGTAGTAGTAGTAGTAGTAGTAGTAGTAGTAGTAGTAGTAGTAGTAGTAGTAATAGTAGTAGTAGTCGTAGTAGTCGTAGTAGTCATAGTAGTCGTAGTAGTATTAGTAGTAGGCTTAGTAGTAGTAGTACTACTAGTAGTAGTAGTAGTAGTAGTAGTAGTAGTGGTAGTGGTAGTAGTAGTAGTATTGTTAGTAGTAGTAGTCGTAGTAGTAGTAGTAGTAGTAGTAGCAGTAGTAGTAGTAGTAGTAGTAGTAGTGGTAGTAGTAGTAGTAGTAGTCGTAGTAGTAGTAGTGGTAGTAGTAGTAGTAGCAGTGGTGGAAGTAGTGGAAATAATATTATAGTCGTACTACTCGTAGTAGCAATAACAATAGTACCAATCATCATACCACTAGCCGTAATCGCAATAGTAATGTAAGAATCGTAGTAGGAGGAGGAAGAGGAGGAGGAAGAGGAGGAGCAGGAGGAGGAACACCAATGAAAACTCAAGACGCATCGGCGATGTCGGAATACACCCTCCTCCAAACTCCTCCTTCATAAGCCCCTTCAAATATGCACTTCCACTTAGGGAAGTGCCCCGTTGGGGGACAACCTTGTGAAAAACCTGAAGTGTACCAAAAGAACCGCTGTCAGGACTTCAACGCCACGAGCCAAGATCCTGAATCGTGTCAGTTCATCATTCCTGGGACTTCAACACCGCGAATCAACGTAACTGCTGCGCCGGGGCAATCCTGAATCGCTCCCAAGCGCAATTTCTGCTACGTTTACCACGAGAACCAGTGAAGCTCATGCAATGTTTAACACGAATCTGCGCGGCGCTGGGGCGAGAACCACATTTTGAAAACGACCCGGTCTCAAGCCGTGAAGCTCTTGCACATGCGTGATATGAATGTGCGCGGCGCCAGGGCGAGAGCCACATGTTGGAAGCGACCCGCCCTCCATCTGCGAAGGTGTTGCCAATTCTAAGTTTGAGGCTCATAAATCGTATTAGCAATATCAAGCAACATGTCGGGCCCGCCCTTCCGACTAGCCTCGGGGTGCACCAAGGAGGATTTTTTCATAAGGTGAAGGAAAGGAGGAGAAACCGGAGAAGGAGGAGGGAGAGGAGCAGCATAAAAAGAGGATGAGGAAGAGGAGCAGGAATAGGAGTAGGAGGAGGAGGTCGAGAAGGAGGAGGAGGAGGAGCAGAAGCAGGAGCAGGAGGAAGAGGAGCAGAAGCAGAAGCAGGAGGAGGAGGAAGAGGAGGAGGAGGGGAAGAGGAGGAGGAAGAGGAGGATGAGGAGGAGGAAGAGAAGGAGGAGGAGGCGGAGGAGGAGGAGAGGGAGGAGGAGGAGGAGAGGGAGGATGAGGAGGAGGAGGACGACGAGGAGCAGGGTGTTTCTTGGCATGGGCCTCCACTGTACACGCAGAATGCGACCCTGGGGACGAGTGGCCCCCTGTGCGCGCCACCGGGGCGCCGCGGGCGGGCCGAACGTGGGCGCGCAGGCTGGTGCTGGGGGGCACCCCCCGCGGGCCCGCTTCAAGCGCCACCGCGGCAGAGGGTCAGTCTGGCATGCGTCGCTCGGCGGCGAGCGAGGGTCGTCGACTCCAACGGGTGTGGTTTGCAAAGGGTGTGGTTTGCAACCGGCACCCTGGGGAGCATCCTGGGGGGCACCCTGGGGGGCGCGCGGGGACCTCGGTAGAGTTTCCCCGTGCCCCGTGGAGGCCCGACGAGGACAGCGTCGTGCCCCCCAGGCCCCAACGGTGCCGATCGCAAACCACACCCTGGCGTAACCATACCCTCTGTAGTCGCCGAGGGGGCGGGGAAGAGAAGGCTGAGGCCTTCTCAGAAGGCGGCCGGGCTGCAAGAAGCCCCCTGGCCTTCGGAGAGGTCTGCAATGTCTTCGGGGCAGGCCCAGGAAACTTCTGACGGCCCGAGGCCTTGCGGGCCTTCTGAGAAGGCCCGACCCTTCTCACTTCCCCCCCGGTCTCGCCCCCGAGTCACGAGCGGCGAACGTAGCCATATCCGCCCCCTCGCGGTCTGGACTCCGGCGCGCGATCCCGCGGATGCGCGGTCGCATCGGCACGTTCCACGCGGGGCAGCCGCGAAACATCGCCCCGCATCTGCGGAGTCGCGGCCCAGGGGCCCAGCCCGCGAGGCCGCGAGTACGGATATGTCTTTTGCCCACAAGTGTGGCCGACCCCCACAGCGCTGAAAGGAAAATAATGGGGGGGGGGGGGCTGGCTCAGGGGGGGGGAAACATCGATCTGGAGTCGGCGATGCATCGCCGATGGATCGGCGATATCCCTCCGATAGCCATCGGCTATCGAGCACCTATTGCCGATGAGTAGACGATTGGGGGTTGATGCGTCCCCCCCTCGGGCTATCCCGCCTCCAAGCTTGCCCCTGGAGCTCCTGGTTCGGGACAATCCGGGCACCCCAGGAACGTTTGCGGCGAGGGGCAGCCGATGAAGGCACCCCGAGGCCAGAAAGCGGCCGAGAACCGACGGAAACGCCAAAACACTTTGGAGCTCCGCGCCCAGGCGCCCCCAAAGCCAGCCAGAAGTCAGGGCGACCGCAGGCATGCCGTTGTTGCGGAGGGAGCAGCAGCAGCCTGAAACCCTGAGGGTTCACGCGCGGCATGAACAGAAACTTTCGGAGATGCGCGCGCATTTCTCAAGTGGGGCAAGGACACAGAAATAAATACACACAAATAGAAGGAGTCCCCATATTTTCTAATAATTTCGGGGTTTTTGTCTTCCCGCCCAGTTCCCATAGTTTCCAATATGTTTTTGGGAATCGACGATTCATTGTGGCTGTGTGTTTTTTCCCTCCTGAATTTCTTGGATCGACGCTGCAGACCTCCCCGCTTTCCCGGCGCGCGGAGCGCGCCAGGGCGGCGCTGGAGGACCCGCCACGGAGGGCGCAGCGCAGGCCCACGAAATCAGCGCGGAACTCCGCAGGCGCCTGCCCACGTCGGCTGCTCCCCTCCGAGCTCCGACAGCTGCGTCCGAACGCCTCCCCCCCTGCCCTCTTCCCCGAGGTGAGCGACCTTCGATGCTCGAACTCCGGACTCGGACGTCGGAACACCTCCAACTCGCCATCGCTCCGACGTCCAATTCCCGTGCATTTGTCGGTTTCGTGCGTGATTTTTTGTTGCTCGATGGTCCAGGATGGTCCTCGATGGTCCTCGCCGAGAAAAAGATGCACACGTCCGAGCGATGCCAAGCCAACTTCAAACCCGACGCGCCCGAGCGCCCCCCCTGCCCCTTGCGAGGTGAGCGACCTTCGATGCTCGAACTCCGGACTCGGACGTCGGAGCACCTCCAACTTCAAACCCGACGCGCCCGAGCCCCCTCTCCCCCTCCCCCCCGCGGACGTGGACGCCCGAGGTGTTCGGGCCGCCCCCTTTGCCCTCTCTTGGCCTTGACGTGAGGGCCCGCCTTTTTTTTCTCCTTCCGCTGTTAACTAAAGCTGTGCGCGGCCCGCTTAGCTTCGACCGGAAGAGGCTCGCTCTCGACCCGCGAATCAAAAAGTTCGGGCCGCCCCTGGGCGACCAGCCCGCCCCGGCGCTCCCGCAGGCCCTGCCAGCCGCCCCCGCGGCCCTCGAGCGCCGCCCGCAGCTCCTCCGGCGGCACGTCCTCGGCGGCGGTGCGGCCCGACGGCCCCAGGCGCGGAGGAGAGCGCTTCCCAGCTCCTCCTCCTCCTCCTCCTCCTCCTCCTCCTCCTCCTCCTCCTTCCCCTCCTCCTCCTCCTCCTCCTCCTCCTCCTCCTCCTCCTCCTCCTCCTCCTCCTCCTCCTCCTCCTCCTCCCCCGCTGAGGGTGAGAGGGGGCTCCGCCACTCGAGGCGCCAGCTGGCGCCAGCCGCGGAGGCGAAGGATGACGAGGACCAGGAGGGAGGCAGGGAAAACGAGAGGGCCCCGAGGTGGTGGATCGGCGAGGGTCGGGCTCTGGCGTCGCCGCCGAGCACTAGGCGGGGGGAGGCAGGCGAAAATGATAAAGGAGAAAAGGCTCCTTCCTGCCCCGCAGGGGCTTTCTGGCGGCAGGGGGGGCGGGGGTCGGCCCTTTGCTGACGCCGCGCAGGGGGGGGGGGAATGACGCGAGGCCGGGATCACCCAGCAGCGCATCGGGGACTCGGACCCAATCGAGATGCGCGTCGGACCAGGCCGCATCGCGTTTTGCACGGAATCGGGAATCGAATCGCCTCGGCTGCGCCAGCATGCGCAGCATCGCCATGCGAACATCGGGCAGCCTCGGATCGTCGGACTAAATATTGGAATCGAATCGGTTCGGGCCGGCCAGACTCGATATCGAATCGGATCGATCGGACCGACGGGTGCCCTGGAGGTTTGAAGGGGCTCGAGGTACCAGGAGGTTCGAAGGTCGAGGTCAGAGCGTTGGAGCGTCAGTCTCGCTATCTCGACCAGTGGAAACAATGTTTGACGCTGTTTTCGCCCTGGCCATTGCCCAGTCCTGGCCACGGCCTGGCTCGGTTTCCCTGGCTCTGGCCCTTTCGTGACGTCCTCGACTCACGCGTCTTGACCAGTACTGGCGCGAGTGATTGCACTTCCCTGGCCTCTGGTCCCCAGTCACCGCCTCCCCTGGCTGGGTCTGGCTCCCACTTCGCTGTTGGCGCCGGGCTCAGATCCCCTCGGCCCCCGGTGGATGCGTCCGTCCCTCGCGCCTCTGGCTCTCTTTCTGTTCCGTGGAACCGAACGAACCCTGGCGTTCAAGTGTCGTGCGTTCTGACCAGTTCCGGCACGAGTGCTTGCACTTCCCTGGTTTCTGGTTGTCAACTGGCCCCATGGGGTACTGGCCCGCCGGTTCACTCAGGAGTGGTTCAGCCTTCTTGAGCGGCCAGGCGTGTCACCTGTCGGTCTGCTGCCCTGTCCTCTGGCGCCCAGTGGCGACAAGGTCCAATTCACGCGCCTGGCGATTCAGCTCCCATGTACTTGCACGTTGCAGCATCCTGGCAGCCTCCGCAGCTGGCAGTCCCAACCCTCGGCGCAGCTCAGCCCCTGCGCGGCCGCTTCCCCCGGCGGTAGGTCTTGCCTTGCTCGGCGCGCCGCCGGCGGTCAGGTTGCTCGTAGCCCGAGCCAACTCTGCTGACGCTGCTGGCGCCTTCGCCTGCGGCCGCGACAAAAAACTATCCCCACCAGCCCATCCACAAACGATGCCCAGGCGATCAGGGAAGCGGAGGAGCATGGAGTGGATCAAGACCTGGGGAAGCCGTCGGACTGATGTCTCGGATCAGCCTACGCGGACCCATGAGCGAACCGTATGCGCCTTTGTGGGCCTGCCGAATGAGGAAAAGAGGATGAGGAGGATGAGGAGGATGAGGAGGATGAGGAGGAGGAGGAGGAGGAGAAGGAGGAGGAGGCGGAGGAGGAGGAGGAGCAGGAGGAGGAGGAGGAGAAGGAGGAGGAGGAGGAGGAGGAGGAAGATGGAGAGGAGGAGGAGGACCAGCAGGACGCGGAGGAGGACGAGGAGGAGGAGGAGGAGGAGGAGGAGGAGGACGAGGAGGGTAAAGCGGAGGAGGACGAGGAGGATGTGGAGGACGTGGAGGAGGGAGGAGGGAAGGACAGAAAAAAACGAATGAAGACGAGGAGGCAGAGGGTGAAAAAGGAGGAGGAGGAGGAGGAGGAGGAGGAGGAGGAGGAGGAGGACAATGGCGAGCTCGGGGGCTTCTTTGGGCGTCTTAAGGGACCTTTTGGCGGTCCCCGTGGCCAATTTGCGTACCTCGGGGAGCCTCTTGGGGCCTCTGGGGGGTTTCTTGGGAGCCTCTCGGAAGCCTGTTGAGCGCCTCTTGGGCCCTCCTCGGCGCCTCTTTGGGCCCTCTTGGGGCGCTCCTGGGAGGCTTGGGGGCGCTTTTGGAACCATCTTGGAGGACATCGATTAAACACGGGAGGAGCTTCAAGTAGCCTTGCCCCTCTAGAGTGTCTAGAACCGTCTCGTGGACCCCTCTTGGGGCGCTCGTGGGCGCTCTTTGGGCCGTCTTGTCCTCTCCCTCCTCCACCTCCTCATCCTCTTCCTCCTCCTCTCCATCCGCCTACGTCTCCAGTGAACCACAAAACCGATACGCGAACCGCAAAACAGAACCGAACCGATCGAGGGAGAACCGAAGGAACCAAAACCCGTCAGAAACCCGACGTGAACTGAAACCAAACCGAACCGGAGGCGGTGGAACCGAACCGGGCCCAAACCGGGAACCGAACCGGGAACCGGTCGTGGAGGTGGACCCATGGGAACTGCCCGATGCGAGCGCGCACTCTTGCGCTAGGTCCATCCCACCCGCTCCCAACTCCTCCCCTGCGCCCCCGAGTTCCCTCGTCCTGTTTTGCTGCATGTCCAGTGCCGAACTGGGGACGGAAGGGCGGCGGAAAAACTCAAATCGAATTTTTGGACGGTTCGAAAATGCGTTTTGGGCCTCCAGGTGGTTTTCCGAGCCTCCAGGGCTGCGCTGGGGATGGCAGGGCGGCGGATAAGCTCAAATCGCATTTTGGACGGTTCGAACATGTGTTTTGGGCCTCCAAATAGTTTTCGGAACCTCCAGGGCTGCGCTGAGGACGGAAGGGCGGCGGAAAAAATTCAAATCGCATGTTTGGACGGTTCGAAAATGCGTTTTGGGTTTCCGGGTGGTTTTCGGAGCCTCCAGGGCTGCTCTGGGGATGGCAGGGCGGCGGAAAAGCTTAAATCGCATTTTTGGACGGTTCGAATAATGCGCTTTGGGCCTCCAGGTGGTTTTCGGAGCCTCCAGGGCTGCACTGGGGACGGAAGGGCGGCGGAAAAAACTCGAATCGTACGTTTGGACGGTTCTTACATGCGTTTTGGGCCTCCACGTGGTTTTCGGAGCCTCCAGGGCTGCTCTGGGGACGGAAGGGCGGCGGAAAAGTTCAAATCGCATTTTTGGACGGTTCGAAAATGCGCTTTGAGCTTCCAGGGGCCCTCGGGGCCTCCAGGGCCGAACTGGGGACGGTGGCCGGGGCTGGGCGCCCACCATCCTGCGCGCGCCTGGCGAAGGCGCGGGCGGCGCCCTTGCCTTCCAAGCCGTTCTTTGGGATGACCCATGCCAGGAGTGAGTGGTCCGTACCGTCGCAGACCGTAGTCCAAGCGTTTTCCATCCTGGCCAGAGCCAGAGCCCCCTGGTCCAGAGGGCATGATGCTGTCGACTGGTCCGTCGAAAGCACCATGCGTAACGTCTGGGCCCAGTGGCTCCCCTGGCTCGCCGGGTAGCTGGACCCAGTGGCTCCCCTGGCCCCAAGGTTCCTCCTGACTCCTGGTTGAACTGAACCTCCAAACGCCTCATATGATCATGTAGACGCACACGCGCACACATCGTCTGCAAAAACCGAAACCGAACTGGAACCGGCTGGAACGGAACCGCCCTCTGAATGGGAACCGCCTCAAACAGCTCCGAAACCGGAACCGTATTGAACCAAACCAATTTCCCCCGAACCGAAACGAACCAAACGGAACCGGGGACACGCTGTCTCCCCGTCCCTCCTCCCTGCTCCCCCTCCCCGACCTCCTCCTCCCTACCAGGTGCCGATCACTTTCGTTACTGATTCTAGCTACGTCATGGCAAGAATGGGTCAGATTCGAGAAGGCCGATTGCCCACGACGAACTTAAATCTGTGGCGTGATATTGAAGCACCTATCCGCCCTGCGACTCCCCTATTGACGGTTGTCAAGATCGAGTGCCACCTCACGGTATAAGAAACTCAACATAATGTAACCAGTGTTTATTCCTACCGTGCGAATGCCATGGCGGATGAAACGGCGAACTATTGGGCAAAGAAGGGTGCAGTCGCGGACTCGGTGGCCGGAACGGTAGAGCACACCGAAGCTATTGGAAGGTCCATCCGCAAGCACCTGGGCAAGGCTTTCCTGGCGTCGGTGGCTTGGGAGCCCAAGAGGATAAAACCGACGCGTGCCATGGTGAACGATATCTATAAGCAGGTCAGGATGTCCGAGCACCAGGTGTACACTGGCATCGGCTCGGCGTTCAGTTGTGAAGCTTGTGGCTGCAGTGCCAGTGGCGGAAGCTCGAGAAATTTGTGGACACACCTTGCCTGGGTGGTGCAATCAAAAGATCTATTTAAGGAATTGGTGACGTTGGGGTGATGATGGTGCAAGGAGTTCCAGTGCACTTTTCACACCTGCCGGGATGCTTCAACGACCTGAAGGTTCACGACTGCCTGCGGTGTGGCTGCGTGGACAAGCATTTCTTGAGGGGGTTGGCGGGGCCGTGCTCGAACCACCTGGGCCACTACGGTAATCAATAACCTTCGCATGCTGGCCCTCGGGGCTCTTACCGAGAGCGAAGATTGACCTGCATGAGTCCTACAATAGGAGCTCGACCACAAGCAACCTTCCGCAAGAAACCCAACCCTGAGACCCCACTGATTCTTGGTGCGGGAACGCCACGCTTTCCACCGCAAAACCATCGAACCCCAAGAAAACCCAGGGCACCCTGGAGGCAAGCGAGGAGGAGGAGGAGGAGAAGGAGGAGGAGAAGGAGGAGGAGAGGGAGGAGGAGAGGGAGGCGGAGGCGGAGGAGGAGGAGGAGGAGGAGGAGGAGGAGGAGGAGGAGGAGGAGGAGGACGAAGAGCAGGTGTTTCTTGGCATGGGCCCCCCCTTTGTATGCCCCGATTTTCACCCGACGGACGCGGCATACCCTGCAGTTCTCTGGGGGGCCACGGAGCCGCGGCTGATCCTGCCCCGTCTCTTCTCGAGGTCTTCGAGACCTGCATTCGGGGTGTCACGGAGCCAGCCGGAGCCTGGTGAGCCCGCCCCCTCACTTTCGAGGCCTGCCGCCCCTCCTGGAGTGCCTCGGCGCCGGCCTGGCGTGCCGGTGCTCGTGGACCTCACAGGTCGTGCAGGGGAGCGGGCGGCGACCGCCCTCTGCCCCCCCCCTCTCTTCCTCTGTCGCCCCCCCCCCCCGAGTCTCAACGCGGGCCTCGGAGCGTGCTGCGGCGACGGGCGGCCCGCGGAGTACTAAAAACTCCCTCCTCCTCCTCCTCCTCCTCCTCCTTTTCCTCTTCCTCTTCCTCGTCCTCCTCCTCGGCGTCCTCCTGCTCGGTGATACTCGGTGATACAAGGCGCAAGTCCACACAGGCACAACGAGAGCCCAATCATCGCCAGTCGACAAGGGGCCTCCTTCCCCGCCTCTCCTCATCCGGCAGGTCCTCAAAAACGCAAGCGGTTCGCTCCTGGGTCCGCGAAGGCTGATCCGAGACTTCAGTCTGACGGCTTCCCCAGCTCTTGATCAAGGCAACTCGCCTGGGCATCCTTTGTGGATGTAGGCAACTCGCCTGGGCATCCTGCATGCTCGCCTGCATCCTGCAAATCGCCTGGGCATCCTGCGTGGATCAAGGCAACTCGCCTGCATGCTCTTCCGCTTCCCTGATCAAGGCAACTCGCCTGGGCATCCTTTGTGGATGGGCTGTTGGGGGATATGTTTTGGTACGCGGGCGCGCGAAGCGGGTCGAACGCCGGGGGAGCACGGGCAGGCTGTGCTGGTGGGGGTACTTTTTGTAGCAACCGCAGGCGGAAGCGCCAGCGGCGAGAGAGGTCCGAGCGGGCCGCGCAAGAGCCGAATTACCTAACGCCGACGGCCGGCGACCTCAGCAGCGCCTCGGCGGGCGGGCCGGCGTGAGGGGGAGGTGCAGGCTGCGGCTGCCAGGGACCAAGCTGGTGGGGACACTTTTTTGGTCGCGGCCGCAAGCGAAGAGCGCAGGCGGCGAACAGGGTGTCCGGGCCGACGGGCAAACCTAATTAGCTGCTGGGCGCAGCGCGAGCCGGCTGGTGGGGACACGCGAAGCGTCAAGAACTCCTGGGGAACTGCATCGCGAGCTCGCGACGCGAGCGGGGGGGGGCCTGAGCTGGAGATCTTCTGACCCAGGTCAATCCAGACCCGGGTCAGCACGAGCGGCTTGCTAACCCGGGTCAGCCAGAGGGGGTCTTTCGCAGGATCCTGCAGGATCCAGTGCCCTGGCTGACCCGCGTTTGCATTGACCCCCGTCTCTTGAGCCCCGACGAGCCCTCGTCGGCCCCGACGAGCCCCCGTCTCTTGGGCCCCGACGGCAGCAGCAAAACCTGCAACACTTGTCGGCAAAGAAGTCCATGCAGTAGAGCGTCAAGAACTCCTCGGGAACTGCATCGCGAGCTCGCGACACGAGCGGGGGGACCTGAGCCCTCGTCGGCTCGCCACCGGTCCAGGGAGCCCGTCGGGGCGGGAGGGAGTCCTGCGCGGGATCGCCGACGACGTGGCAGCCGTCGAAGTTGCCTCGGCCGCACGGGCGCGCAGGTCGGCGCGGGAGGGGGGAGGAGGGCCAGTGCAGCCCCCAGGCGCATCAACGATGTCGCTTCAACCCTCCCTCCACGCTCCTTCCCCACAAGTCCCTGCAAAGTTCTATTTTCATTCGAGAAGATGCCAAGTGCAGCCCCAAGGCGCATCAACGATGTCGCTTGAACCCTCCCTCCACGCTCCTTCCGCATGAGTCCCTGCAGAGTTCTATCTTCACTCGAGAGGATGTCAGGTGAAGACGACGGTTTGGGAATCGCCGGTCGTGCCGAAACACCGTTCCCGATGCTTCAACACACCAAAGCAAAGCGACTGTTGCGCCCTGACAGTCATCAGTCGAGCCAGGGCACCACTCATGGGATTTCAATACAGATCCTCTAATATGCTGCAGGCTTTCAACACGAATGTGGGTGACGCCAAGGCGAGAACCACATTTTGAAAAGAAACCCGCCTCCACCCTTGAAACGGTTGCGACCATTTAGGACATGTGCGCGGCGCTGAGGCGAGACCTGTATTTTGAAAACGGCCCGCCCTCCATCCGCGAAGCTGTTGTAAATGTTCGAAACACATGTGCAAGGCGCTGAAGCGACAACCACAAATTGATGCATCCTTGACGCTGCTCTCCATCCTTGACACTGCAACAAACATTTAAAACAAATTTGCGCGGCGCGTGGGTGATAACCACAACTTGAAAATGGCCCGCCCTCCATCCGTGAAATTGTTGCTACTTACATGCGCCAGGATCATAAGTGGGGAGGGCGTCCCATGCGAAACGCCTGGCCCTTCCTACCGACACGTTGGGGGTGCGACAGAGCGGTAATATGTTTAAGGGATGAGTGATGAGAGAGAAGGAATGAGGGAGGGATGAGGGAGGAGGAGGAGGAGGACAATTGCAAAGGCCGTCTCTCAGAAAACGGGTAAAATATTGCCATGGTCGGGCCCTACCATGTTGTATGCCTCAAGTGGGCCGGGGTCTCTGCCCCCTTTTATGTGATGGTGCGTACAGCAACACGCTCGCTGACATGCGCTTGCAAATGCTAGACACAGCAGCACGAGCCAGACATCGCCTCGATGTGAAGCACTCGGACACCTACGTACAAGGCGAAAGACAGCCCAGCGACTGTAAAGCACGCTTGTTTACGGCGCATCCGTCCGCTTCCCGAAGGATGCGGGCGCACTGCCCTAGGCAACCTCCGTCCCCCAGGGCGCGGGCTCTTGCCACTGCTGTGAAGGATACTGGTCTACACCCTGCTTCCGAATGCCGGATTCCGCAGACAAGCTCAGGCTTAGGGTATGCGCTGCTTGTCGGAGCAAGGGTGTAGCGATGTGGGCCCGTTCATCTTGTTCGACTGCGTGTCCAAGCCTGTGTGTCCCCATTATCGTGTGCACCGAGTTGCTGACGCCCATGCCCAGGTCCGTATTGCCCAACGTCACGTCGACGCTCGTGCTTTCGTTCGTCGTGTCTGGCGGCTGGCAGTCGTCGGCGCCCCCGCTCATCCTATCCATCTGGTCCAAATCAGTCCCCAGATCTCCAGGGGTCCATCCTCGGCAGTGATTCATCCTGGATCGATTCCTGATGGTCCTGGGGCCCGACAAGGGGTTGCTGAAACCGAAAGTACCGAAGCATCTCTTGGGCCTCGAACTTCGCGGTGGCAGCGACGACAAAGGATGGCAGCGGTAAGAAGCGATCACGACAACAACGAAGACGAAAACGACAACGACGCCCGGGAAGATCGTCGACGATGTACGACGACATAGAAACAACGACGACGGCGACGATAGAGAAAGACAAAAACGGGACAAGTACGATACCTGTGGCGCGAAGCGCGCCAGAGGCGGCCCGAGGCGGCGCCGGAGGCGCCGCCAGGGGGTCCAGCGCCGATCCACTAAATCCGCGCGCATATCCGAAAGTCTGTGTTGATGCTGTTTTTGCGTTTCGTCTTCTTCTTCTTCTTCTTATGTTTGTTATCGTTCCTCTTCTTCGTCTTCTTCTATCTTCTGGACGAAAAAGCAGCGGCGACGGCGGCAGAAACGAACGACGGCGGCGAAAGAGGGACATTGTTGCTGATGCTCTGTCCTCCTCGGGGCGAGGAGCAGCGAGGGCGGCGGCGGCGGCGAGCGACGGCTGCGGAGGAGGCGTCGCCGTGGGCCGCGACGACGAGCTCGGCGGGCAGCCCGGCCTCCCGCTCCAGCGAGTCGATGTTCTGGGTGTAGACGCGCCGCAGCAGGCCCCTGCCCGCGGAGGCTGCTCGCGGCAAAGGCTCGCCATCGCTGGGACGTCCCTTCCCGGAGTTTTTTGTTTGGTTTCGTTTTTTATATAAAAAAGAATGTTTATAAAACACGCACACACACACGACGGTCCCCCGCCAAATGATCGAGGATGCTCATCGATGGTCCTCGCCGAAGGAAAAACTGCACGCGTCCGAGCGGTGCCAAGGGGAGGCGGGAGCCAGCCCCGCGACGGCGGCGCGCGCCCGGGGGGGCGGCAGCAGAGCTCGGCCGGGGACCGCTCGGCCAGGCGGCAGCGCGGCCAGGCTCGGCCAGGCGGCCCGTGCCGAGCTCACCCCCTGCTCGGCAGGGCGCGCTGCTCCAGGAGCCCAACTGGCCATCGCTCGGACGTCCATTCCCCGTGTTTTTTTTCGGTTTCGTGCGTGGCGTTTTTCTCCAAATGATCGAGGATGCTCCTCGATGGTCCTAGCCGAAGGAAAAATGCACACGTCAGAGCGATGCCAAGCCAATGCGCGGATGAGTCGAATGTGAGATCGGCTACAAGATCGATGTTCCTCCAGATTGGTTTCCTCGTCGAATCCATGAACAAACGCATCGGATGTTCGTAGATCTACGTCGCCTTCTACGCATGCTTCATGTATTCGACGAGAAAAACAAACTTGGGGTACATCAGTTCTGTAGTCGATCCCCGACTCATATGATGAAAGCTGCTGGCTTCCCCACCGATGGAAAGGGGGCTCCGCCACTCGAAGCATCAGCCACGGAGGAGCAGGACCACAATAGGTGGCGGCGTCCGAGCCCTACCTCCTCGAACCGTCGATGCTCCTCAATCGCTGGGAGGCAGGGGTCGGGTTCGCACTTCGCCACGTGCTCGAAGATGTCCGAACCCTACCCCCGCCGCCCATCGCGCTGCCTGAATCGTTGATCCGCGAAGGTAGGGCTCGGACATCGCCACAGAGACAAGGAGCAGGAGGAAGAGGAGGAGGAGGAGGAGGAGGAGGAGGAGGAGGAGGAGGAGGAGGAGAAGGAGAAGGAGAAGGAGAAGGGAGGGAGGAGGAGGAGGAGAGAGGAGGAGGGGGGAGAGGAGGAGGAGGAGGAGGAGGAGGAGGAGGGAGGAGGAGGAGGAGGAGGAGGAGGAGGAGGAGGAGGAGGAGGAGGAGGAGGAGGAGGAGGAGGAGGAGGAGGAGGGGGATGTGGGGAGGGGGATGGGGGAGGGGGAGGGGGAGGAGGGGGGGGGGGAGGGGGAGGGAGGGGGGGGGGGAGGGGGAGGAGGAGGAGGAGGAGGGAGGAGGAGGAGGGGAGGGGATGTGGGAGGGGGATGGGGGGGGGAGGGGGAGGAGGGGGGGAGGGGGAGGGGGGGGGGGGGGGAGGGGGGGAGGAGGAGGAGGAGGAGGAGGAGGAGGAGGAGGGAGGAGGAGGAGGAGGAGGAGGAGGAGGAGGAGAGGAGAAGGAGGAGGAGGAGGATGAGAGGAGGGGGAGAGGAGGAGGAGGAGGAGGAGGAGGAGGAGGAGGGGGGGAGGAGAGGGGATGTGGGAGGGGGATGTGGGGAGGGGGTGGGGGGGGGGAGGGGGAGGAGGGGGAGGAGGGGGGGGAGGGGGAGAGGAGGGGAGAGGGGGGGGAGGAGGAGGAGGAGGTGGAGGAGGAGGAGGAGGAGAAAAAAGAGGAGGACAACGCCGATGACCTGTCGTGCAACTGAACCAGGAGCACAGGCCAACATGCGGGCCCTGCAAGGGGCAATCAAAACTAAACGAGTTTCTTACCCGTCTTGGGGTGCTTGCCAGCCTTGTATGGTATCGATCTTTGATTTTTGCCTGGCTCTGGCTAGCTTGTCTTCGGCGGGGCCTAAGCAGGCCTCGTCAAGATTACAGTTGGCAGCCTTAGCAGACACTTGATAGGAGCCGCACAAGGTGCACACCATGGCACCTTGGGTCACCCAAACACGGTGCCCTCGGAGCTCGACGACTTCATCGGTCGGCGGCGCAGACGATTCGCCGTGAGCAGGAACCGCCTCTGGAGGGCTGTCGGCACCCTCATCTTGGGTCCACTGTAAGGCCACGCCTACCGCCTGACTACGCATAAGTGGAGCCTCCCGCAAGCCCCTGTCCCGAGAATCCATCAAACTCTGCTGAGGGGTCGGGTTACACGGGGTGCCCAGCAATTTCGCCAAGCTAGCAGGGTCCTAGCTATAGACATACACAGTCTGCACTGGAGCACCTTGGCCCCGTCCCGAGACATATGCACCATACTATGCTGAGTGAGGCCCAGCTTCGGGGCCGCCGAATCGGAGTGTGCGTCCTCCTCCTGCTCCTCCTCCTGCTCCTCCTGCTCCTTCTCCTCCTCCTCCTCCTCCCTCACCCAGAGTCGGAATCGAATCGGATCGGCTGTGCCAGGATGTACAACATCGCCATGCAACCATTGGGCCGCATCGGACTCCGTCATGCTCTTGTCACGGGACAAGGGGGTCCTGGTCCTGGAATCGAGATCCGACCTCCCACGAACGCAGAAGCAGAACGTCCAAGAGAGGTCGTCCTAGGCGGAGAGGTCTTCCTAGGCAGACGTGGGCTGGAGAAGTCTGCAGGCACGCCGCTGCCGTCTGCGACGCCTGCGCTTTTCCCAACGAGAATATAACGATCGTCCCAAAAGGCAGCCGGAAGACAGCCGTGCGGAGGTATTGCACACTGCGCTAGCATGTCTTCACTGCTCACGTGCTTGTCACGAGGTTTCGCAACAACCAACAGCCCGTCTGACTATAGTATGAGCTCGACCACAAGACAACTTCCACAAGAAACCCAACCCTGAGACCCACGGACGTCAATTGGCTGATGGTGTGAGAACGTCACGCCTTACATAGCACAACCATCGAAACCCAAGAAGCCCAGGGCATTCTGGAGGCGCGCAGGGTGTTTCTTGGCATGGGTTTCCACTGCATCGGAATCGAATCGGATCATGCCGGCCGGACTCGACATCGAGCCCGACGCCAGACCGTGAGGGGGGCAACGCTACGGGGGACTGGCGTAAGGGGGGCAACATCGACCTGGAATCGGCGATACAGTAAACATCTGTGATACGGACGGGCGGCAAGGACGCACGGGCCTCGGGCGCCGAAGACGGCACTTTTTGGGCGGCGGGCCGCCAGCACCCCGAGGGGCTGAGCAGTGAAGACGGCGAAGGACGGGCCGCAAAGGCAAGGACACGAGGGGAGGAGGAGGAGGAGGAGGAGGAGGAGGAGGAGGAGGAGGAGGAGGAGGAGGAGGAGGAGGAGGAGGAGGGCTGTGTCTTTCCTACGAGTGTGGACTGTACATCGCCGATGAATCGGCGATTCGGCCGCGAAGCTGCACGCTCCCGGGCAGGCTGGGGCTGTAGGGCACCAGTCGGCAATCGGTGGGCGACTGGGGGTCGATGCGTCCCCCTATGCCTATCGCCTATCCCCCCCTATCTGGGTAGTCGAAGCCAATCTGGCGCCAATCTGGCAGGCCCAATCTGGCAAACGGGGGCAATCTGGCGAGGGAACCAACGCGAATCCAGTCTGGCGAATAACCCAAATCCTCCAATATGGCCAGGCCAGATTGGCCCTTGGGGCCCAATCCAGTCTGACAGTCTGGCCTTCGACTACCCAGCCTATCGTTGCCCCTAGGACTGGAGGGGCAACAACCTGCAGAAACAGAAACGACGACGAACGACGAAGGACGACGACGGGCGACGACAGCGACGACAGAGAAAGAACAACTGCGTAAGAAGACACGTTCAGGAACCCCCAAAGGCGGCGCTGGAGGCATCAAGGGGGGGTCCCAACGCCGATCCACGAAATCCGCGCGGATCTCCAAACATTTCTGCTTTCATGCAATTTTCTATGATCCGACTGGACATCCTCCCGCTCATCTGGGTTCATCGAACTGTGATTGATTATCCGACTTGCAGTGGTGTCGGGTATGCACTCCAAACACTTCAGAAAGGCAGGGCAGATATATCCTCAGAGGTATGGCGGAAACAGCGCAGGCAGGGCGGGCATCGACAATCAGAGGAGCTTGAACAGTAGGGGGGAAACTTCCGCCCTACGTGCGAGATGAGTCAGGAAAGGGGGTGCCCCACAGTCAGCGCGCTATCATAATAAGGGACAGAGGGGCATTCCTGGCCGCGGCGAGACTCCGGCACGACCAAGTTCACAGACCCAAGTCTACAGAGCGGCCCGACAAACGGAACCCCTCCCGAGCCCAAAATGGCTCCTGTTTCCGCGTCCTGACTGTAGACATCCTCCTGCTCCTCCGATTCTAGAAAAAGAAGAAACGCCATAAACCTAAACGTTTGGCGCTCTATGCTGAGTTCTTGGGTCTGCGCAGCACACCCCTCCCTGGAGCGCGGAGCGCGCCAGGGGGGCGGCGCCGGAGGCGCCGCGGGGGGGGTCCCAGCGCAGACACGAGAAGTCCGCGCGGAGCGCCACAAGTTTGTGTTTGCTGTATTTTTCTGTCCTCCTCCTCCTCGTCCTCCTCCTCCTCTCCCTCCTCCTCGTCCTCCTCCTCCTCTTCCTCCTCCTCCTCGTCCTCCTCCTCCTCCTCTAAGTCCCTCCTCCTCTTCCTCCTCCTCCTCCTCCTCCTCCTCCTCCTCGTCCTCCTCCTCCTCCTCAAATTTATGTTCGCTGTATTTCCCCCCATGTTTCGTGGGGTTATGGTTTTCTTCCCTTCCGCGTCTCACCCGCGTCTCCTCCTCCTCCTCCTCCCTCTCCTTCTTCTCACCGCGGTCTCCATACGCGCCAATGTCGCAGGGCCTGGGGTGCGCAGGGGGTGGTCTCTCACCGCGGCCGCTATGCACGACGGTCGTCCAGGCACAGCAGGCGTGGCACATTCTCGACACCACAGGGGGTGCGCAGGGGGTGGTCTCTCACCGCGGCCGCTATGCACGACGGTCGCCCAGGCACAGCAGGCGCGGAACATTCTCGACACCACAGGGCTTGTGCGCAGGGGGTGGTCTCTCACCGCGGCCGCTGCGCACGACGGTCATCCAGGCACAGCAGGCGTGGCACTTTCTCGACACCACAGGGGGTGCGCAGGGGGTGGTCTCTCACCGCGTCCGCTATGCAAGACGATCGCCCAGGCATAGCAGGCGTGGCCCTTTCTCGGCACCACAGGGGGTGCGCAGGGGGTGGTCTCTCACCGCGGCCGCTATGCACGACGGTCGTCCAGGCACAGCAGGCGTGGCACTTTTCGACACCACAGGGGGTGCGCAGGGGGTGGTCTCTCACCGCGGCCGCTATCCACGACACTGGCGCAAAGCCTAGCAGGCGTGGCACTTTCTCGACACCACAGGGGGTGCAAGGAGGGGTGCGGATCACCGCGACGTTTACACGATCGTCGTCCAGGCACAGCAGGCGTTGCACTTTTCGACACACAGGGAGGTTCTACCGCGGGCCGCTATGCACGACTGGTAGTCCAGGCACGCAGGCGTCGAAACATTCTCGACACCACAGGGGGGGTGCGCAGGGGTGTGGTCTCCCACCGCTGTCCGCTATGCTCGACGGTACTCGCTCCAGGAAGCCGGGTCGAAACATTCTCGACACCAACAGGGCGTGCAGGGGGTGGTCTCTCACGCGGTCGCTATGCACGACGGTCGCCCAGGCATAGCAGGCGTGGCACTTTCTCGACACCACAGGGGCTGTACACGGGGTGGTCTCCCACCGCGTCCGCTACGCACGACGGTCGTCCAGGCACAGCAGGCGCGGCACTTTCTCGACACCACAAGGGGTGCGCAGGGGGTGGTCTCTCACCGCGGCCGCTATGCACGACGGTCGTCCAGGCACAACAGGCGTGGAACATTCTCGACACCACAGGGGGTGCGCAGGGGGTGGTCTCTCACCGCGGCCGCTATGCACGACGGTCGTCCAGGCACACACGCGTGGCCCTTCTCGACACCACAGGGGGTGCGCAGGGGGTGGTCTCTCACCGCGGCCGCTATGCACGACGGTCGTCCAGGCACAGCAGGCGTGGCACATTCTCGACACCACAGGGGGTGCGCAGGGGGTGGTCTCTCACCGCGGCCGCTTTGCACGACGGCTGTCCAGGCACAGCAGGCGTGGCACTTTCTGGACACCACAGGGGGTGCGCAAAGGGTGGTCTCTCACCGCGGCCGCTATGCACGACGGTCGTCCAGGCACCACAGGCGTGGCACATTCTCGACAACACAGGGTGGTCTCTCACCGCGGCCGCTATGCACGACGGTCGTCCAGGCACAACAGGCGTGGCACTTTCTCGACACCGCAGGGGGTGCGCAAGGGGTGGTCTCTCACCGCGGCCGCTATGCACGACGGTCGTCCAGGCACAGCAGGCGTGGAACATTCTCGACCACAGGGGCTGTGCGCAAGGGGGTGGTCTCTCACCGCGGCCGCTATGCACGACGGTCGTCTAGGCACAGCAGGCGTGGCACTTTCTCGACACCGCAGGGGCTGTGCAGGGGGTGGTCTTTCACCGCGGCCGCTATGCACGACGGTCGCCCAGGCACAGCAGACGTGGCACTTTCTCGACACCACAAGGGATGCGCATGGGCTGGTCTCTCACCGCGGCCGCTGTGCACGACGGTCGTCCAGGCACAGCAGGCGTGGCACATTCTCGACACCACAGGGGCTGTGCGCAAGGGGGGGGTGGTCTCTCACCGCGGCCGCTATGCACGACGGTCGTCCAGGCACAGCAGGCGTGGCACTTTCTCGACACCACAGGGGGTGCGCAGGGGGTGGTCTCTCACCGCGGCCGCTATGCACGACGGTCGTCCAGGCACAGCAGGCGTGGCACTTTCTCGACACCACAGGGGGTGCGCAGGGGGTGGTCTCTCACCGCGGCCGCTATGCACGATCGTCTCTCAGGGCATGCACGACAGGCACAGCAGGCGTGGCACTTTCTCGAAACCACAGGGGGTGCGCAGGGGGTGGTCTCTCACCGCGGCCGCTAGGCACGACGGTCGTTCAGGCACAGCAGGCGTGGCACTTTCTCGACGCCACAGGGGGTGCGCAGGGGGTGGTCTCTCACCGCGGCCGCTATGCACGACGGTCGTCCAGGCACAGCAGGCGTGGCACTTTCTCGACCCCACAGGGGGTGCGCAGGGGGTGGTCTCTCACTGAGGTCGCTATGCACGACGGTCGTCCAGGCACAGCAGTACGACGACGACGCTGAGTATACTCAGTACGACGACGCTGGTTCGACTGGTTGGTCTGGTTGGCGTGGTCTGGTTGGCCTGGTCTGGTCTGGTTGGTTTGGTCTGGTTGGTCTGGTTGGTGTGGTTGGTTGGCCTGGCTGGCTCGTGTGGCTGCTCTGCTTGATTGGCCTGGCTGGCTGGTCTGATTACTTTGGCTGGTTATGGCTGGAACGACTGATCCGACTGGTCTGGTCAGTCTGGCTGGTCTGGCTGATCTGGCTGGTCTGGTCAGTCTGGCTCGTCAGGATGGCGAAGCGGGATGTGATATGGTTTGTGAACACACGTGACACAAAATAAGTATGTGGGGTTCCTCGGTAGCGTAATGTTTTCGTCGTCGACCGAGGGCGCCCGCCCCCCGTGCGGTGGGGTCCTGTCCGCCAGGAGGCGCAGGAAGTGGTGGGAGGCGGTGGGTCGGTACCTGCCGGGCCACAGGTCCTCGCGCGGGGAGGAGGAAGCAACACTTTGCATCTGGAGGAGTAGGGCGAAGAGGAGGAGAATGAGGACGAAGAGGAGGACGAGGAGGAGGAGAAGGGCAAGGTGGTGGGATGTCTTTGCGAAACCCCCCTGGGGGGGGGAGGGGGCGGCGGGGGGGGGGGTGGGAGCGGGGCGGAGCGGCGCCCCCAGGCGGGCACCCGAGGTGTACCCAGGCGGGATTCTTGTTGCTCTTGGCGGGGCGCAGGAGGCCGTAGCCGCAGGTCGCGCGGGTGCAGAGGATGCGGGTGGAAAAGGAAGGGGAGAACAGGAAAGGGTGAGAGAGCAGGAAGGGGACCATTAGAGAGGAACTCGGGGGCGTGGAGTGGGAAGGGGGAATAGGAAGGGGGGGGAGAGCAAGCAGGGGACAATTGGAGAGGAACTCGGGGGCTTGGAGTGGGAAGGGGGAGTAGGAAGGGACAGTTAGAGAGGAACTCGGGGGCGTCCACGAGGGGGCGGGGGGTCACAAGCCATGGCCCGAGGCACGCTCGCGGACGCGGGGCGGGCCAGGGGACGTGCTGAAAGAAGAAGAGGGGCTCATGAGGTTCGGAAGGATGTCCATGGCCCCGGCCATGACTCCACCTCCTCCTCCTCCTCCTCCCCTTCCTCCTCCTCCTCCTCCTCCTCCTCCTCCCTCCTCCTCCTCCTCCTCCTCCTCCTCCTCCTCCTCCTCCTCCTCCTCCTCCTCCTCCCCCTCCTCCCGCTCCTCCTCCTCCTCCTCCTCCTCCTCCTCCTGATCTCCGGGCCATGATCTCCAACCACCCCTGGTCATCAGGCCCCCCTCGTGTAGACAAGTGCACTCCACTGCTCGCGGAAAGTAGCTGCTCGCAAATGGCGCGGATCCGCCGCGGGAGACTTACGACCACTTACAGAAAGGAAGACATGTGCTTTTTTCGGACGTTTGCGAGTAGGCACTTTGCCAGTAGTGAAACGCGCCCGGTGTACCCCTAGTCATCACCCACCCTTCTTGGCCGCCCCCGAGAATCAGGAGGATCGGCGCTGCCCGAACCGTCCCGCTGAGCAGAAACGGCCACGCAAGTCGCGCCACTGGGGCCTAGGGAGTGGATGCAACCTGATCGGCGACTGCTTCGTGGATTTCGCGTGTGGGGTGCCAGTCGCTGCACCATGCCTATCATCATTGTCTTGCTCATCATGCCTCCCTGTTGCGTATGCAGTCCTCCCAGATCAATAGTCGGTGTGCTTGTACGATTCCGAGTGAGTAATCAACAACGCTGAAGACGAAACGTGCAAAACAGGCACACCGAGAGCAGCATGAGTCGTGTGATCCCCCGCCCACCTCTCCCCCTGCCCTTCCCCAGCGCTTGCTCTCCCTTCCCCCCTCTCTTCTCCGCTCGTCCCTCGAGAGGGCCTCAGGAGGCCAAACACATGGATTTCGCAAGGTTTTTGACAATCTTTCGGGCTCTCACCTTTTCGGGCCCAGAAGGGCCCAACACGGACCACGAGTTCCCAAAGCTCGCACCAAGACGGCTCCAGAGGCCCCCCAAAGGGGCCGAAAACGGTCCAAGCACCCCTTCCCTCCATCCCCTGCGTCTGCTCTTGCCCACCCCCGGCCTTCTCACGACGTTCCTCACCGGCCTCCCCGCCCCCCGTCCTTGCAGAGCTCGTAGAAGGGCTCGGGGTGCTCCTGTGACCGTGAAGGGCCAGGAGGGCCCAAGGAGCATGATGAAGAACGTGATAATGTAGGAAGACGGAGAAGTCGAGGAGGGAGGATGTGGCGGACGCAAGCTGGGGTTCAATAACTCTGACTATTGTAGCTGCTCATCCGCTACAGTGCTGTAGGCACTGAATGCACTATCCTCAGGTCCACTGGAATTCTCTGTGCTGCGTATTGTAAAATCTCTCTAAAGGGCCCAGACCCTGAATTTCCGCGCGATCTTTGGCGCTTCCTGGCACTCGTGGGGCGGCTCGCGTGACTTTGTCAGAGACCCCAGTGACGTGGTTGGGATTCCATACTTCCAACATGCTTTTCTCAAGGCTCATCCTGGAGCCCTCTTGCGCGCATCTTGGGCCGTTTCGGAAGCTCTGGGGACCCGACCCAGAAGGAAGAAACACTGAAACATCCCAAGAGGTCTTGATGGCGTCCAAGACGGCCCAAGAGGCCCCCAAGATCGCCCCATGGGCCCCCAAGACGGCCCCATAGAATGATCTCGAACTGACACTTCGAACCCTCTCCCCATAGATGACTCCCGAAACCGCCAAGAGGCCCCTGGGGGCCATCAAGAACCCCACGAGGCCCCAGGAGACCTCCGAGAGGGTTCCGGGCGAACACCAAGCGGCTTCCAAGACGTGCCCAAGAGGCCTTCTACGAGACCCCAAGAGGCATCTGAAAGGCACTTCGTGGATGGCCTAGAACCAAGCTCCAATATCGCCAAGATGTGCCAATCATGTGTCAATCCGAGACCCCCAAAGAATCTGAGATGGCCCCAAGATGGTCTCAAGACGGCCCAACATGGCTCCCATACGGCTCCACATAGCCTCCAGACGGCCCACGAGGCTCCCGACACGGCACACGAGGGCTCCAAAATAGAGGGTTCGAAGAAGCCAACATCATCCCTTTTAGCCGAGTCAGAGTGTTCAGAGTGAGGAGGCCGAACGGTTATTCACTGTCCCTGGTTGCGTGGCTGAAATGGGATTCCGCGGAGCGACTTATACTTGTTGTTGTTGTTGTTGTTGTTGTTGTTGTTGTTGTTGTTGTTGAACTCTCATTCTTGAAGAATAATTATTGTTGATCCCCCCACCGGTGCACATTGATTTTTTTCGATTGAAGTGCCACCCCCGGGGCTCGCACCTTGTTTTTTCTCAAGGAAAGTCTTCCTGCTCAAACTGTGCCCCTGCCCCCCGGGCTACAACAACAACGGCTCCCGCCTGAGACTTCCTCGATTTTTACTCAGGACCCCCGCTCCCGCCTGAGACTTCCGCGCAATTTACTCAGGAAAGGCGCTCCCGTCTGAGACTTCCTCGCAATGTAATCAAGACCCCCGCTCCCGCCTGAGACTTCCGTGCAATTTACGTGGGAACGGCGCTCCCGCCTGAGACTTCTTCGAATTTTACTCAGGACCCCCGCTCCTGCCTGACATTTCCGCGCAATTGACTCAGGAACGGCGCTCCCGCCTGAGACTTCCTCGCAATTTAGTGAGGACCCCCGCTCCCGCCTGAGACTTCCGTGCAATTTGCTCAGGAACGGCGCTCCCGCTTGAGACTTCCTCGCAACTTAGTCAGGGCCCCCGCTTCCGCCTGAGATTTCCTCACAATGTACTCAGGACTGCGCTCTCGCGTGCGACGTCCTCACAAATTATTCTGGAATTGCGTTTCGGCGCTCAGGAACCACGCGCGCGCCAAGGACGCCTTCACAACGTGGTATCTTCCCTCTTCCTTCGTCCTTCCCCCTCCCCTTCCTCCCACTCTCCCTCGTTCTTCCCCTCCTCCTCTTGCAGGGCCCGCGCCAATTCCAATGGCGGGCAGAGAGATGTACGCCCCCGAAGGATTGTCCGCCCGTTCCGGTTTGCCCGTACGTCTAAGCCCGCCGGCCCCAGCAAAGAGAAATAATCCCCCCGAAAGGGGTGTGATCGAAGACGAAGAGGGCGGGTATCGAGGGTGTAGGGTATACGTGTTGAATGACTCGCGGGCAAGTAAGAGCGTACAGCCTTAAAATGGTTGTTGTTGTTGTTGTTGTTGTTGAACTCTCATTTCTGAATAATGATTGTTGTTGATCTCCCCCTCCGGTAACATACGTGTTTTGCCCTATCCATCATGTGGTGTTGGGTCATCGTTTTGAAGAGGCAGCGCCCCGCGTCTCCTCCTCTCTTCTCCTCCTCCTCCCCCTCCTCCTTCCTCCCCCTCCTTGCCTCGGCCCTCCGCATGTTTCTGTGTCGGCACACCAAGTACAACGTTTCGTGGCCACATACGGAGCTCCACCGAAGGCCCCGGTGGCAGGGCCCGCATGCCGCCACCTCGCCATGTCGGCACACCCCTCACACGTTTCGCGGCCCCACAGGGAGCTCCACCGAAGGCCCCAGTGGCAGGGCCCGCATGCCGCCACCTCGCCATTTCGGCACACCCCTCACACGCTTCGTGGCCCCATGGGGAACTCCACCGAATGCCCCAGTGCTGCGTTCGCATGCGGTTCCATCCCACATTTTGGCAAACCCCTCGCGCGTTTCGTGGCCCCATAGGGAGCTCCACCGAAAGCTTCAGTAGAAAACGCCTGGCGCAGTCGGCGGGCGGGGGCGAGGGACAAAGGCGCCACGGGCATCTCGGCCAACGCCAGCCGGAAAGAAGCCGCGCCACTCGGAATCGGACTGCGCGTCAACTTCGACGGGGGCGCGAGCGTGGAGTCGTTCGCTAGAGCGCGCGCAGCAGGAGAGTGAAACGCAGCGTCGCAACTTGCGTCGCCCTTGAACGTCCTGAACTGCGCAGACAGCCGCGTGATGGACAGACTGTTGGGCTAATCTTCGTTCCCAGCAGGTCGTTGCGCGAGATTTCTCGCGAATTTGAAGCGCCCCCCACGGACGCCGCAAGCAGGAAGGTCGACTTCGAGAGTTCTCCCCAGGGCGATTTCAGCAGCATTGGCCCACAGACGGTGACCAGGAGCGAGGAAATTCTCTGCCCCTGCCAAGCCCCCCCCCCGGACGGCCTCATAAGCTTCCTCGACCTTCGAAACAACGTCCGACCAGCCCCCCGCGCAGGACCGGGTGCCCGTCAGGGCCGTGGACTGCATTTCAGGGAACCGACGGGGGAGGGGCCTTGAGGGAGGCCATCGGCCTATGATGCTTGCTCTCTTGCAAGCAACGGCCCAAGACTTCCCAGCGCCGCGGGAGGGGGGGGGCGCGCTCGAGGGGAAGTGGGCGCGGGCGACCGCCGAGACGAAGACGCCGCCTAAGAGCTCGGCGAAAGCAGCTTCATAGAGGACCCCGGGGGGCAAGTTTCGACCCCCCGCGGCCGTGAAATCAACTCTGCGCTTAACCCAAGAAACAGACCAAACGCACCGCGTCAATGCGCGCTTCCAGGAATCCTCGGGGGCGGCGCTGTTGAACGGACGCAGCGACAGACGGCGAGCAGCCTGGCGCGTGGACCGTCGCGGCGACGGCCCTCGCATACGACGGCGCGGCATCGCGCGCTGCGAAATATCCGAGACAGTCGCGCGCGGAAATCAGAACTCAAGCGCTACTGCCGCCGTCCTCTTCAAGAAGTCCAGGGGCCCGCAGGGTCTCGGGCGCTGTTGAGGTTACTGATGGCCATCTTCCGAGCTGCACAATCGACGCCCTTGGGCCAAGATCACGCGGGCCACCACAGTCTTCTTCCCTTTCCAGGAATAGGGATGCGGCCTGGGGGGCCTCCCTCGGAGGGACACGCGGGCCAAAGGGACTTCCGCGGGCGCCTGGGAAGGGCGTCCAGGGCTGGATCTCTGGAGTGACAGTTTACACTCGTGGAGAGAACTCTTGAACAGACGAACCCCAACTGGCCTTCGAGCCTACCGACGAAGTTTGAGACCAGAAATTAATTAAACAGCGAAGCCTCACACGACGAGCCAACTGCCCCCCCCCCCCGCCCCTCGCATGCCGAGGATGGGGGGGGGAATGGGCGGGCGCGGGCGCGCCCGCCCTGCGCGGGAGCATCAGGAACGGCGACATCAGCGGAGGACGCAGAGGACGAGACACGGGCCTCAATTCAGCGGCTGCAACACGAGATTGACTGCGCATCGCCATCTCGGCCGCTTCGCCGTTCTGTGTGTTCCGCTTCTTGACCGGCAGCCGCGCTTGCCTTACCTGTACCGACTTCGCATGCCCGATCGCCCTCGAGAAAGAAGTCCGCGCTGCCCCGAGGCGGCTCCCCGGCGCGACTCTGCAGATCATCGCGGTCCTTGGCGGAAAGACTCAGCTCCTCATCCTTGCCGAAGTCCTCGAGGATGTCGCAGCTGATTATCGAGCCTGGGTCCACTTTGCTCTTAGCGAGATCCTCGAGCCGAGGGAACCACTGGGGCAACCGCGCAGATTTGAGATCCGGCCGCAAATTTACGCACTGCCTTGTGAATTCACGATCAGCATCGACGAGAGACGTGCGCAACTGCTTGCCCTTCTCGTGCTGCGTGCGGAGGAGCGGGGCCAGCTCCGCCTCCATCCGCTTCACCAAGCGACGCACGCGTCCGTGCTCTTAGTGAGCTGCCAAATGTTCCGAAAGAACATGCCTCGGCTTTGTTTCCGCCGCCAACATGTGCTTCGCAACGTCATAGTAGCGCTTGTACAGACCGATCGCCCGCCTTCTCAATCGAGCCAACTCCGATGCCTCGCCCCTCGCGGTGTTCGAAGCAGGGCCAGCGGGCATCGGCGGAATTGCAGCTGAATCTTGGAGCTGAGGCCGGAGTTGACTACTCCAGATTTCGTGATAAAGGGAGGGGGGTCTAATTTCGGGGGGGGTCTCTTCCAGGCTATCTTAGAGGGCCTGGGGGGGTCTGGGGACGATGTTTTGGAGGGTTCTCCCACAGGGGGGGGTCTGAAATGGCTTGTCTTGGAGGGTTCAGACCCCCTCCCTTTTATTACGAAATTTGGAGTACCTGACACCACGGAGCCCTTGCCTGTGACCCCTTTGCCTCCACCTCTGCCGCCTGCTAGGAAGCAACCTTTGCCGCCGCCCCATCTGCGACCGTGCCAGAGGAGGCCTGGGGGCGAAGCGTGCGCGGTCCAAGTCCAATGAGCAAGAGGCAACTTATCAACAACGAGGCGAGGAAACGTCGAAACACAATGTTTGCACCAAGCATTTGGAGCGACCTTCTTGCAATCGCACAACGGACAAACCATGTCTTGTGGTTCGTATTGGGCTTGCCTCTTTCCTCAGCCTCCTCCTTCTATGACCGTCCACTCCCCGCCCTCATTATCCCCTCACGAACTCAAGGCGCGTACGAGAAGTGACCAAGTGCAGGAGCCATCGAAGAAGGGTGAACGGGAAAAGGAGATGGTTCTGTAGACAGAGCGCGTCGAACATGTGCGACACCTGGCGGGCGGATGCCAGGTAATCTGTTTGGGGCCGCGACTTACCTCTCACCAAAATGATCAAACTCTTGAGCAGCGCCTCCAGACTTGAGCCACAATGGCGACGGAACCCAAGAAGTCCCAAGAGGTCTCATTTATTTTCCTCCCCCACGTCCGCCTTTTCATGTTTCGTTCTCCTTCTGCTCCTGCTCCTGCTGCTGCTGCTGTTTCTCATGCTCCTCCTCGCCCCCTTTCCTTCCCCAAGCGTTCCCCCAAGAGATTACACACCGACTGGGGGAACACATAGCCGAAACGCTTGGCCAAACATTCGCCCAACGTTTGCGATTCTGTCCGAAGGATCGGTGTACTTGAAACACACCTGCATGTCAATAGCACGGTCATCCATCTTAAAAGTCTACAACTCCTTTTCAGCGCTCGCCCACTCCGATCACACTTGGTTCCCACCCTTGGGCCTCTATGAACGCCCTATGGGCCTCCTTATGCCGCCTTGGGCGTTCCTTGGGGCCCTTTCGGCCCTTCTTAAGATTATCTGGGAGGCCTTTGAGGAGTAGCTATCGGGGAAACGCAGGGGGAGCGGAGGAAATTAATGAAGGGATACGGAGGAGGAGGTAATAGGAGGGATGACGGACGGCAGAGATGGAGGATGGGGGAAGAGAACAGGAGGAGGCACTAGGACGAAGAGGATGGAGGATGAGCGGGGAAGAACCGAACGATCCGATGTTCGGCATTCTCATCACGTGTCCCCTGGCCCTCTTGACCTCTCCTCGGGGCCGGTGTTTCATCGCGGATCGCCGTTCCGCGGTCCTGGAGCGCGACGACGGCCTCCAAGCGCCGAACATGTCGGAAACCATGCGTCGGGCCCGATCTCCCCAAAACAGCTTGGAGGTCCGGGCTCGGTGGTCACAAGTCGGCCCCAGGACCTGCCAAGGGACGCAGTCTGCTGAGAGTTCCAGTGCGGAGTGAGCCGTGCCGGCGAGAAGCCGCCCCGAGGCAGCAAGAAGGGTGAACGACGCCCTTCCCCTGCCTTCGTCGTTTTCCCTCCGGGGGGTCAAGGGCGACAAGGGTGAGGGCGGGGCGGTGGGGGGGGGGCGGGCGCACCCCAGAGCCCACCCGAGCCGCGACGCCCGAGAGAGCTCTGAGGCGCCCGCCTGGCCCGACCCACGGGGCTCCTGGAAGTACTCCAAGTCGAACATGCACTCCGCCTCGGGGGGGGAAGGGAGGGGGCGGGGCGGGACACGGCGCCGAAATCCTCGCGTATCTACCGCTAGGTCGGGCATGTCCTCCTACATACAGGCGGGTTTTGGAAGAAAAAACCGTCAAACCTGCTCAAACATGATCAACAAAGATAGAAACACCGTCCCCAGACTATACCGTATCTTGTTTACGTTTCCTTCTCTGGAGGGACACGCCCGACTTAAATCTACCGCCCAGAGCCACCTCCTGTTCCCCCTCCACCTCATCCTTCTCCTCTTTTTCTTCCTCCCCCTCCCCCTCCTCCTTTTTCTCCTCCTCCCTTTCTCCTCCATTTTCTCCTCTCTCCTCCTCCTTTCTCTTTTCTCCTCCATCTCCTCCTTTCTCCTCCTCCTTTTTCTCCTCCTCCTCCTCCTCCTCCTCCTCCTTTCTCTCCTCCTCCCCCTCAGCCCCCCTCCCCCTCCCCTTTCCGCACAGAGCCACCTCCTCTGGCCAGGCGCGCCCTGGGCCCAGGATCGGCGCCCGCGCCCCCCCTGAGCTCCGTCAGGGAGGCATGTGCGCCGCTCCGGGGCCCAGGGCGCGCCTGGCCAGAGGCGGTGGCTCTGTGGGGAAGGGGGGGGGAGGAGGAGAATAAGGAGAAGGGGGGGGGGGGAGGGGGAGGGGGAGGAGGAGGAGAGGAGGAGGAGGAGGAGGAGGAGGAGGAGGAGGAGGAGGAGGAGGAGGAGGAGGAGGAGAGAGGAGGAGTAAGGGGGGGAGGAAGAGGAGGATGAGGATGAGGGAGGAGGAGGAGGAGGAGGAGGAGGAGGAGGAGAAGGAGGAGGAGGGAGGAGCGAGGCGTGCGACCGGTCTGGATGGTCCGACACTCCGGTGCCGCACCCGCGGCACTCTTGACGGTGCACGTGTGCGGGAGCATCCCACGTGGTGTCCGACTGAAGCCCTGCTGAGCCTGGGGACTCGCTTCGGCACCCTCCCCCCAGCCTCGCCAGGAGGAGGAGGAGGAGGAGGAGGGGAGGAGGAGGAGGAGGAGGAGGAGGAGGAGGAGGAGGAGGAGGAGGAGGAGGAGGAGGGGGGGGGGAGGAGGAGGAGGAGGATGAGGATGAGGAGGAGGAGGAGGAGGAGGAGGGAGGAGGAGGAGGAGGAGGGAGGAGGAGGAGGGGGAGCGAGGCGTGCGACCGGTCTGGATGGTCCGACACTCCGGTGCCGCACCCGCGGCACTCTTGACGGTGCACGTGTGCGGGAGCATCCCACGTGGTGTCCGACTGAAGCCCTGCTGAGCCTGGGGACTCGCTTCGGCACCCTCCCCCCAACCTCGCCAGGAGGAGGAGGAGGAGGAGGGGAGGAGGAGGAGGAGGAGGAGGAGGAGGAGGAGGAGGAGACAAGGGAGAGGGCGGCGGCGGTCGACGCGTCACAGAGCTCCAAAAAGCTCGAGAAGCGCTGCGGGTCAGAGGGCCAACACGCTAGACGAATGGGCGGGCAGACGGCGGCGCACGCTGCTTGGCAGGGCAAGCAGGTGGTCATCGCAAAGGGGAAGCGGGCATTACCAGAGCGCCCACCCAGACAAGTGGACTGAGGAAATCTGCACCACTTCACTCGGCATTGGTACTCGGGTGTGGTGGTGCAGCCCGCAGTCGGTTTCGCCAATCGACGTGCGTCTCGCCAGATACATCCGTTTGGCTTGGGATGTCGATTCACTACCCCGCTGGGGCCCACTCGAGAGGCGGTGCCCGGCACACTTTGAGTGCCACGGGGAACTTTCACCCAAGAGCGTTCTGCTGAGGAAGGCTCTGTCCACTCCCGAGGGCCGAGGCCTGAGCAGACTAGGGCAACACGCCCCGACCAGACCAGCACTCCACGGAAGAAACGGATCGAGGACGAGGGGGGGGGGCAGGCCGGCCCTGCAGGGGCCGCAATTCTGGCGAGACGCCTCGTGACCTCCGGCCTCCACAAGGAATGCCCTGATCCACGCCGGTCCCTGGATCCCTCCCGGGGCCAATCCTCGCTGGTTTTTTTCGAGTTTCGCCCAGACGTGGCGACGAGAGCCTTTCGAGATGGCCCACGAACTTGTCAGGCGACGACAACGACAACGACGACGACATCGACATCGACATCCACAACGACGACGACGACGACGACGACGACGACGACGACGACGACGACGACGCGGCCTCGACTGGACCTGGCGAAACACGTGGCGGACAAGCACGCCGCAGGCGTGCGGAGCAGCTTCCGCTCCCCAGGCCGACCGTCACAGCGGAGCATGCGCGCGGCCTCCCGCCTGCTCCCCCCTCCTCCTCCTCCTCCTCCTCCTCCTCCTCCTCCTCCTCCTCCTCCTCTTCCCCATCCTTCCCCGAGGGTCTCCAATGCCCACCTAGAGCACGCCTTCTCCTCGTCTCCCTCCTCCTACTCCTGGTCTTGCTACGCCTGCTCCTCCATAGAACCTCCGATATCGCAGTACTGCGGTGGAGGTCAGTTTCCTTGGGCACTCCTGGTCAGCCTCACGCTGTTCCAGGACTTGCTCGACCGCGGGGCGGGACTTGACAATGAGGCGGGACTTGACCTCACCATTTGTTATGGACGGGGCTTGGCTGATTCTGGAATAGCAATGTAGCGGTGCCAGCTAGCTTAGATTCCGAACAATGCGGTTTTGCACTGTGGAGGTAAAAGCTATGCGGTGCAAGCCGTGTGGTGAATGCTATATTTTGTACGTGATGGTTATGAGGTTTGAGCTATGGAGGGGAACCTATACGGCGGAAGCTAATTATGTGGTGTAAGCTATGCCACACGAGCTATGCGGTGTGTGCTGGAGATGTGAGTCATGGAGTGTGAACTATGTGATATAAGCTATGTGATGCAAGCTATGTTGCGTAAACTATGCTGTGTACAGTCATCCCGTGGCCAGGGCCCATTTCCCCCCGCCGGCGCTCAGCTTGGAACGCGATTTCCAGCTGAGGGCGCTGGACGCAGCGCAGCGCGTGCTCGCCGCGGTCGAGCTGGCGGCCTTGCGAGCCAACTACGAAAGCCGCGTGATCGAGGGCTCGCGCGTGCGTCGCCGCTGGACTGCCGCGCGACGGCCCCGCGCCGCCAAGAGAGCTCGGCCCCCGCCAGCAAAGCCGTCGGCGCCAGCTCCCCCCTTTGTTGCCCCGCCGGCGAGCCCGGGCAACGATTGAGGCTAGCGGGGCCGTCGCGCCTCCGGCGCCGGCCGAGGTAGCGCACGCCCTTTTCGCAGGCGCCGCGTGGCAAGCGCACGCAGCGGCGCAGCGCGGGCCGGGGGGCGTGCCTGCGCTGCGGCGCTTCGGCGGCGCGGAGGGCGCAGTTGTCGGCGAGGCCGTGCCGCGGGTGGGAGCCAACGCTGTTTCCGCGGGAGGCCATGCTACTGCTGACGCCGGCGGTGCGCGCCAACGGTGGCGCGGAGGCCTGGCGCGCCGCCCTGGAGGCACGGCTGCGGGCCCGGCCGGGGCTGCCAGATTCTTAGGTGCACGGTGCATGCCCTTCCCCCACCCCTCCCAGCCCCCCCATTAGCAGCTGGGCGCCCTGTTCGCATATTCAGACACGTTTTCTCAACCCGTGTAATAGGACGCCGCGCGATCAAGTTGCAAATGGCAATGGAAGGCCATGCCGACACTTTGCGAGTGGGTCGCGACCAGCGAACGCGGCCAAGGATGGACCGAGAGGGAAGGATGCAAAGAGTCACCTGGCCATCGCTCGGACGTCCATTCCCTGTGTTTTTTTTTCGGTTTCGTGCATGGTTTTTTCGACGAGTGATCAAGGATGCTCCTTCATGGTCCTCGCCGAAGGAAAAATGCACATGTCCGAGCGATGCCAAGTCGCCTTGGAGAGACGCTCATCCTTAAGATGCGTAGTGGAAGCTAGATGGCGAACGCTATGTGCTGCAAGCTCGGAGCCCGGGGCGCCCACGAGGCGGCACGGGCGGCAGCATGGCGTAACCTCGGCAGACCCCCCCAAAACCAAACGCGGGGGGGCGCCCACGAGGCGGCACGGGCGGCAACGTGGAGCAACCCCGCCACACACACGCACACACACGCGCACACGCACACGCACACGCACACGCACACGCACACGCACACGCACACGCACACGCACACGCACACGCAC